GTGGGGGGGGGGGATGGATGGGGAGGATGGAGGTGAACATGTTAAAAGATCATCAGATGTGAAAGGGTTTTGACGAAGATGTCAAGGATCAACTTTGTTGATCAAAAAGCTAAATATTCCAACAAACTCACGAGCAACGAAATGTTCAATGAAATGAATGAGAATTATTACAATCTTCTATTTAGAAAATGTGAATTTTTCCCAGTTTGTTTTAACTTAAGAGGTGTTTATTAGTAAAATAACTTTTTCAAACTTGTTACTTAAAGAAACACAAAGTTCACCGTTTGATCCAATTTATTTGTTTCCTTTAAAAAAAAAAGAATTTCAGAGATTTTTAGTTAACATTACAGTTTATAATGACCAGAGCTGAACCATCACAGTTACAGCAACCAAAAAGAAAATACAATGAAACCGAGGTGAAGCTGATGTCGGGTCACAGGTCACGACCCCAACTGGGAAATATTTACAAAGGCAGCATTTTAGATGATAATGCTCATATTTTACTGTCAGAAGATACAAAGAAAAAAGCAACATAATTTTTTAAAGTACAGCAACAACATTTTAAAACAACTTCTATTTTTATGCACTGTTTTTTTTTTCTCCATCTTTACAAAAATGATTTGACCGTTTTCTACCGTTACGACTAGTCGTTGTTAACAGTGTGATCGGGCACCGACCTGTGGTGCTGCCGTTATTAAAAATATAAAAGGACAGTGAAAAGATTACGTGGTCACAGAAATGATTTAATGACTATTTAATCGCTCATCTCCATGTCTTCTTGATGGTGATCATCTCCGTTGACTTTGGACTTTTTGGGATGGTGGCCCTCGGACCTCATCTCGTCCTGACCTTTGGGAGAAGAGGCGGAGTCAGAGTCACTCTTCCTCTCGTCGTCCTCTTCCTCTCCGTCCTTTTCACTGTCATAACCTTGTTCCTCCTCATCATAGTCCCGGGTCACCTGAGTCACAAGTTCAGACGATGAAAATGTACGAATCATATGATTATCCTGTTGACATCTGCTCAGTTGACAAAGATATATATAATTAAAAGATTATATTGAGGTTTAGTGAACTGAGGGGCAAAAAACCAACTCAAAATCATGACATCTTTGTATTCAAACCAAATTTAAATGCAGGGTCAGGTCCTTATAGATCCGATTTTATTATTATAAAACTTTGTTGAACTGTTTCTTGAAGTCGTTTAAACTCACCCTAAATGTCACACGTACCTTAACGTCTCCTTTCTCACTGTCAGACTTGCGGTCCCGGTCCCGTTCCCGGTCTCGGTCTTTGTCCTTGTCCTTGTCCTTGCTCTTCTTTTTCTTACTGGTGGAGCGTTCTCGTTCGTCTCTGCTCCGTCCTCTGTCCTCCCTCCGTTCTCTGTCCCGTTCCTTCTCTCGATCCTTGTCCTTCTTTTTTTCCTTCTTGTGACTGTAATGAAGATTCATTCTTGTTGATTTTTTTCCCCTTCTTTTTACCACAGTGTGAATGATTGGTTGTCCTTCACCCAACTCACCGTCTGGGGGATGGAGACCTCGACAGCCTCCTCTTGGGCGAACGGGATGCAGTGCGGCTGCGCCTGTGTCTCCTACGAAGCAGAACCACAATGAGAACCGTCAAACAAACACTGCACGTGTTCAGAAGAGCAGGGCTCAAACCACCCACCGACTGATGCTGCGTGATCTCCTGGCACTGCTGTAGCTCTTAGGAGGTGTTTTCGACCTTTTCTTAGACTTTTCTTCCTTCCTCCGATCCCTGTATGACACACGTGAAAATTCGTAACAACTGCTACGTAGTGCGGGGTTTTCCAGACAGAAGACTGTGGCAGTTATAGACTAGGACAAAGTGGACTCCACCAACGGACCAACCTTGATCTGCTGCGACGGCTTCTGTCTCGGGAGTGAGACTTCTTCCTGCGTGGGCTTCTGGACCTCCTCCTGCTCCTTGAATGGGATCTCTTCCGGGATCTGCTCCGAGAACGTCTGTCAGGCATAAGAAATTGAAAACAGAACAAGGTTATTCACTAATATACTCTACATGAACACAGAGCAGTCCAGCAGCCGGGGACTTTGACCTGTGTCTGGAGCGGGACCTGGAACGCCTACGACGAGATCTCGAACGAGAGCGCGAATGCTTTCTCTTATCTTCTTTCTTATCTAGAAAAACAAAAGGACAAGTTTAAATATTCATCAACTTGGTACTGGTGTAAATCTCACTCTCTAGCTCATGCAGGTCATTAATTGTTTTCTCTACTCACTTCCAGGTTCAATGGCTGCAGAAATGAGAGACTGGGCCTCCCTCACCCTCTTCATGGCTTCTTCTATCTCCTTGTTGGACGCATCACTCTTGAGCCCTGGGGTCAGGCTCAGTCCAGCTGCCAGTGGATTCAGTCTGAAGGAATCGTGCAGGTATTTACTAAAAGAACAACAAAACTCAACGCCAACTTTTGCTGGATTCTACAAACATTTTCTTACTTGGGGTCCATGGACTGCATTAGCTTCAGGAAGTCAGCAGAAAGAGCCTGAAAGACAGATCAGATACACAGTTGATATAAGGAAGTGAAGATGTCGTCGCATCACCAAGTCACAGTGAGGGTTCAACTCCCGTGTCCACCTGGGGGTTCATGTTTGGTGGCATTCCCATGGCAGCCATTTGTTCCATGTTGGGGGCTCCAAGACCTCCAAATGGTGTCCCTCCCATCTGTCAACAAACGACCAATCACAAACCGTGAACGATTGCTGTACAGTGGTCAACAGTCCATGGTCATGAAGTTCACGTGAAACCCACCGATGCCAGGGGATTGGGTGTTGGAAGAAGGCCTCCTCCAGGCATCATTCCTGCCACAGCATTGGCTGGAGCCAGCAGTGACATGGCTTTGGATTCATCTGGAATGACTCCTGGAGAAAAAACACTATTTCACTGTGTGCTCGACCCAAACACCGACAAACACTGGTAGAAAAGCCACCTCAGACTAACTACTCTGTTGTGACAAGTAAGAAAATAATCCTGGTCTCGTCTGTAATCCTTGATCCCTGACTTTTTTTTCTTTTTTTTTCTTTGTCAAACTATGTTTGTAGTTTAGCAGCTATTAATGGTTAAAGTCACAATACACACTGTGGTCAACACTGCCAAGATTTTATCACCTGTACTTGTTTTTTAAGTCATGAACCAAACGTAAGCAAGCACAGCCGGTTGTCCCGTGGGATGTGCTCTCAACTTTCATTAGATGTTTTATGAACAAGCGACTCACGCCGGCTGCTTCGCTATAAAGCACACAAAAACATTGAGATACAGAAAACAAAGTTCATGATTTGGGTGTAGACACAAAGGTACATTTCAACATGACTTACCACTATTATCATAGAAACAGAAAAGGTTTCGTTAGTTTACCTTTTCTGCCCTGATTGTGGTTCCTTTGTACAATACAACCACAGGGGAAAGATGAAGAAAACTTACTTTGCAACCAGATAAAAATACTAATCATAAGCTACATCTTTGAAGAAATAATTTACCTAAACAGTGTCAGCAGATGCCTTTATAGAATCATGAGAAACATGCCCAAAAGCTGATGAAAAAACAAACTAACTTGTCTTCATTAAAATCTTAAGATGTTCATCCATAGCTGTGCAATCTGTAAACAGGCTACTCCAAATCTGACATCTTTATATTCTCAAAAAGGGGAGAAAGAGAGGGAGGGAGAGAGAGACACACACTTTCACTCACGCTCGCTCTCTCACTCACACACACACACACACACAACAGAAAGGACACTTGAGAAACAGGATAAGGCTGCAGAGGACAAAACTGTTGGTGGCATTTTCAGCAGGGCCTGGTATATAGGGCTGGCTGAACCAGGAAAAAGAACTGTAAAACACAACAACAAAAAGAAACACCACTGTTAAATGTGAGATTCACTCAGCTCTGTCAGTCAATGTGTGGAGCGGGTCAATTCAAACGGAAAAATAGCCATCTTTTATACAATACCAAGCAAACTTCATATGGTTGGTTTAGCTTTGTCTTTGTTGAAATTGTTTTTTAAAAGTGTTCAGTTGATACTGGGCTGTTGCATTTAAAGTAAATAGTTTGTGGACTTCATGTTTGATAAACAATCTTTTTATTAACACATAGTGTTAATATTTATGACTGGAATTTTTAAGGAAGTCCCAAACATTTGTTCTCACCCTGAACCATGACAGATCCAACAAACATTTCTAACAGTTGTCTATGAATATTTCTACTTGTTATGAACTCCGTGTGCTAACAATTAATATTTGTAAAACATGATTGACATTTGTTTGGCTGATCAAACACATCACAGTGCTGACTAAAACCCTAACATATTATTTTGTAGTTGAGATCCTCAAATATTTAGCCATGGAGGGAAACACTAAATCAATGCAGGCTAAAAGGTGGTGAAGGTTTTAGTATAATTTGGCAGATCCATTTGAGACATGTCCAGTTTAGAGCATGCATGCTGTCTGACATTGATTTTTGAAATTGCCTTACGAACTTTCCCGACCACTTCGTTTCCTATAGGACATTTTTGAATAAAAAGAAGTCTTGAAGAGAGAAACAAAACAATGGTTAATTTTTTGTTTTTGTTTTTACTGCTGAACAAGAGAGAGAGAGAGAGAGAGAGAGAAGGCAACTTGGAAGCCTGGTGCCATTTTATTTTCTAATCTCCTGATGGCAGCAGAGGACCACTTTCAGCCAGCAGGGGGGCTCTCTGCAAATGACTTGTCCACTATGAAAACCACAACACAAATAACAGAGAGAGAAGTTTACAGCTAGATTGAAAGACATGGACACAAATGTACAAATCCCTTTTACAAACTTTTTTTACAAACAAAGCCAAGCATTTGAGGCTCGGCTTATTTCGAATGATCAGGGGGAAAAACAGTGCTCAGTGTGTTCTAAGCAGATTGATAGACTGTTGTGTGAATGACATAATGATGGAACAAACACCCACCTTCAGCAAAAGGGACCACGATCAGGGCTCTGTCCACGAAGACGGTATTTGTCAGGTGTTGAGAAACCCCCACAGACTCAGACTCAAGGAACTTTACAAAACAGACACGTGAAGTCACAGGCAAGGGAGAGTCACTGGAAGAAAACATGGACATGTTGTGCAAGGAATACAAACAATAGACTCAACATGTGCACACACTTTCACTCACGCTCGCTCTCTCACTCACACACACACACACACACACACACACAACAGAAAGGACACTTGAGAAACAGGATAAGGCTGCAGAGGACAAAACTGTTGGTGGCATTTTCAGCAGGGCCTGGTATATAGGGCTGGCTGAACCAGGAAAAAGAACTGTAAAACACAACAACAAAAAGAAACACCACTGTTAAATGTGAGATTCACTCAGCTCTGTCAGTCAATGTGTGGAGCGGGTCAATTCAAACGGAAAAATAGCCATCTTTTATACAATACCAAGCAAACTTCATATGGTTGGTTTAGCTTTGTCTTTGTTGAAATTGTTTTTTAAAAGTGTTCAGTTGATACTGGGCTGTTGCATTTAAAGTAAATAGTTTGTGGACTTCATGTTTGATAAACAATCTTTTTATTAACACATAGTGTTAATATTTATGACTGGAATTTTTAAGGAAGTCCCAAACATTTGTTCTCACCCTGAACCATGACAGATCCAACAAACATTTCTAACAGTTGTCTATGAATATTTCTACTTGTTATGAACTCCGTGTGCTAACAATTAATATTTGTAAAACATGATTGACATTTGTTTGGCTGATCAAACACATCACAGTGCTGACTAAAACCCTAACATATTATTTTGTAGTTGAGATCCTCAAATATTTAGCCATGGAGGGAAACACTAAATCAATGCAGGCTAAAAGGTGGTGAAGGTTTTAGTATAATTTGGCAGATCCATTTGAGACATGTCCAGTTTAGAGCATGCATGCTGTCTGACATTGATTTTTGAAATTGCCTTACGAACTTTCCCGACCACTTCGTTTCCTATAGGACATTTTTGAATAAAAAGAAGTCTTGAAGAGAGAAACAAAACAATGGTTAATTTTTTGTTTTTGTTTTTACTGCTGAACAAGAGAGAGAGAGAGAGAGAGAGAGAAGGCAACTTGGAAGCCTGGTGCCATTTTATTTTCTAATCTCCTGATGGCAGCAGAGGACCACTTTCAGCCAGCAGGGGGGCTCTCTGCAAATGACTTGTCCACTATGAAAACCACAACACAAATAACAGAGAGAGAAGTTTACAGCTAGATTGAAAGACATGGACACAAATGTACAAATCCCTTTTACAAACTTTTTTTACAAACAAAGCCAAGCATTTGAGGCTCGGCTTATTTCGAATGATCAGGGGGAAAAACAGTGCTCAGTGTGTTCTAAGCAGATTGATAGACTGTTGTGTGAATGACATAATGATGGAACAAACACCCACCTTCAGCAAAAGGGACCACGATCAGGGCTCTGTCCACGAAGACGGTATTTGTCAGGTGTTGAGAAACCCCCACAGACTCAGACTCAAGGAACTTTACAAAACAGACACGTGAAGTCACAGGCAAGGGAGAGTCACTGGAAGAAAACATGGACATGTTGTGCAAGGAATACAAACAATAGACTCAACATGTGATTTTAAATCGATGGAAAAACGAATTTATAATATTATACATTATATTAATAATTGCATTGCATTAAGTAATATTCCCTCCCTTCTTACTACATACAACTGCTGCTTGTATGATTTAAATCAGACTTTAGATCGAAGGTGTTGGAGCTGATTTTTTAATACTTATATTTAATTGATTACATTTCTATAATATCGAGGGAAACTATCTAATATAGCCCTTTCTATTTTGTTTGTTATAAAGTAGAATAATTTCACGAGAATATACATTACTAAGGCTTTATTTTAACCATAAATATCCAGATATTCTTTAAATGCCTGCAGTAACTCGTGGATCGTCTATGTACTAATAACGTCCGTTATTAAACTTGAGTCAATCACGGTCTATTTTGTAATCGATCAATCAATTCAAAACATACGTTTAGCGTTGAACAGGGTTATAATCAAACGCTAAAGAAACATTTAAATATCACAACTTAATCACATTGTGAACAACAACCACTCCTGGATATGTTCTCAGATAAAACGAGAACTCATCGGGCTGAAGGAAGGCGCGAACAGACGATAGCATTAGCATCGACACTAGTGAGGCCTGTTCGGCGCCAAAGGCCTCGGGAGCAGAAGAAGAGGACGTGAGATAAACACTTTAATTGTGTTTAGCGGAGAATACTCACTCGGGCGGAAACAATTTGAGTTCTTCTATGTTTCCCAGGAATCCGAATAGAGTCCTCATCTGTTCGGATGTCGTGCTTGGTGAGACATTTGTCACCTGAATGACGTGAGTATTGGAGTTCATTTTGTGAATTGTTAGCTAGCTGGGTGCTAACAGCTATGTTTCCGACAGACTATGCTGTAGTGACGTTCCCCAGCTAAAAGCAAAACGAGTAAACAATTGTTATCGATGAAAATATGCTCAAACAAAAATAAAATCTGACATCCTCGTAGTGATGTTGATTGTGGTTGCCGTTTGGTACAGCTATGAAGACCACAGCCGTGAGCCCGGGGCAACAATAACGTACGGGAGAGTGTCAGAGGCACGGGGACGCGTTCAGGTGCAGTTGGTTCCCGGACACGTCTGAGGAGGAAAGAAGAAAAAGGTAAGGACGCGACCATATTGGTGTTGTTTATTGATAAGGCGATAAACAACTATAGAAATAATTATAGCATATGTTTTAAAAACAAACATTCGCTTTTAAATGTTTACAAAGGCCTAATTATTTAATGTGTGTTTTCTGTGCAAACTTCACAAACACTTGATTTGGTGTCAAGAGCTCAAAAGAGCTCAAAACCTCTTTGGTTTGAGCTCAGGGAAACTGAGCTTCAACAGGGTGAGGGGCAAGAATGCCAGCTTCAGGGATTTTATTGCTACTATACATGAAGTATGTAATATTCAAATGGGGCCCAATAAAGACAGTAATTCTCAAGTGTTTTCTCTTATTTCCAAAAGGTAATTTGAGGACTATGTTTTCATTAATGTCAGAAAATAACCAATTTAGCATGAATGACACATTTGTATTGGTTGAATAAAGAATATCCTGGATTTAACCTTTGACCTGGTGAAGGTATCACAGCCTCCAGCTTCAAACTGTCATCATTAATGACAGACAACATTCACCTGTGTCCCTGGCCGTGCAGTTACTCCTTGCACCACTGTGTCGCCATCGCTGGTTGCCGTATTTCACACTTATCCTGAGTAAGTCATGCATTTTTGTTGGTCTATGTTGGGTTGGTCTAAGTTCTAAAAACAACATTCAATATTACATATATATTTATCCACAGGCGTAAGTCTAGATAATGTATTTAGTTATGAATGTATTTATATACAAATGTATTTTCTATCAATTTAGATTTATATAACCGTGTTTTGGAGGAGATTGTTTTTCCGAAAGCCTATGAAAGCACCATGAATTGTGTTGGTTTGGTTGTGGCGGAGGTCACAGTGTTGTGTCGCCAGACTGTTAGCTGCTGCTGCCGCCGCCGCCGCCGCCTCCAGTCTGCGGATGTTCGTGTTGGTTCGCATCATTAATTGCAGAAGAAAAGCTGGGGTTTTTCGTTTCCGTAGCTTTGCACACGCACACGTGTCTCAGGGTTAAAAAAGAAATGAAACTTGTGCTTCGTATTGTACAGTCGGAGGTAAACGAACCGTGTTTGGTGCAGAGTCGCTGCTTAGCTAACTTTAGCCTCTCACAGGCGGGTCGTTTTAACGTGTTGCTGCTTCGGTGAACCTGGAGGCGTGTGTTTGTACCTGTCACTGCCGGTCGTTGCGTTTTATATTCTACTTCAGTGTAAACTGATTTTAAGTCAGAGTCGACTCTAATACTGCTTCATTAATCCGAAGAAGAGGAAGAATGTGTCTAATCCCCAGATAAACTACAGGAGGTGACGTCGTAGATCTGGAGCAACAAACAGGCAAGTAAAAAAAAGTCTTTAAAAATGTACCATATTCTAACGACGGTCAAACCAACATTGATTTGTTTAATTTCTGTGTGCAGTGACGTTCAGTATTTTATGTCCCAAACCGCAGCCTTACAAATGAAGGGGTCAGTTGATCAGTTGAACCAGTTACGACAGGTGATCTTTAAGTCAGTCACAGATTAGAGTAACGGTTTATTTGTGATGTTGACTAATTTAATGCCGCATCTTATAATAACAGAGTTCTTGTTTTCGCTGTCATATACAGTAAAACCGTGAATAGTCTTGATGACCTATGAGTTTATATTCTTTCATTATGAAAAGTTTTCTTTTCATCTCAGCTGCTAGTCATTACATCAATACTCACATACATCTGTGAATTTCAAATGTCCTTACAGATCAATCCTTCTCTTGCAGGATCACGTTATAAGATGCTGCTCAAAAACCTGAGCTGGAAGGAAACAAAATGTTGAAAGTCTTCTCCTTTAGCCTTCCGTTCTCATGAAGCCAACACAGAGATATGGGCGTCCTCAGAGCGGCAGCCAGAATCATGGGTCGGATCAGTACTTTCAGGTCCTATCAGTTTGTGCTCCTCGTTGCTGCTGCTCTCGCAGTTGTAGCTTTCTACTACTTTGGCTCTGAGAAGCAGAACTTCTCCAGCACCACAAAGAGGATCCGACAGACCCAGGCCAGCCACACCAGTACCAACAGAAATGACGCAGACCTGACTTTGGACACCGGGCTACCACGTACCCCTGGGTCCGAGGAGCAAAGAGGCAAAGATGCAGATGCAGGAGGAGAAGCTGCGGAGAGTGGAGCTAGCTTAGCTGCTCACCAACACTACCACGCGCTCATGATGTTCACAAAGGTGGACAAGAGCCGCAGTCTGCAGGACAAGTTCCGTGTTGCCATGTTGTCTATGGTGAAGCATGCGCTCTTCCAGGACGGGGAGGTGCTGGTGCTGCACTTTGTGAGTGACCAGGCCAGCAGAGACCTTGGAGAGAGGATGCTGCAGGAATGTCTCGTTGATGCTACATTTAAGTACGAGGTACGTGCTCTGACACATGCTAACACATGCTCCGTCATGTTGTGATTGTTAACCTGCTACAGTCATGGTCAATAATGAATACACTGTGGACATTTATTGAAAAGGAAAATCGTTTTAACATAAAACCTTGTTAATATTCATTATAAAAATTGAAGACTCATTTTCTCACTTTTACATTCAAATTAATAATGCACTGGAATCAACATTTTCTCACTTCTACATTCAAATTAATAATGCACTGGAATAACTTTAAATCACAGTCACGAAGTCAAGGGAATCGTGTTTACAATGTAGTGCAAATATGAAACACAAGGGGGCAGTGTTGACCGTTTAAAGTAAAGGTCTCGCGATGGTTTGTTCGGTCTTTGTCTCAATCTCCGGCTTCATTTGTCCTTTTATGTTTGGACACAGAGGGCAGGGACATTTGTTTCAGAGAATTCACTGTGAGGCAGGAATGTTTCATCATCCACAACATCAGCTGTAGACGTAACCGGTCTTTATTACTGTAGACTGAACCCACGGCTGCTCTGCTTGTAGAGCCTTTCATGTTCCTGTGTCCTCCTGCTCTGTTAAATGCACTGTTAAATGCAGTGCATGTCAGACGAGTGCTGATGCAATGCTGTGAAATCTGCATCAAAGCCAACAGTTCAAAGACATCAGTTACATCAATGTCAGTGTACAGTCCCACAGTTAAAGGTGAATAAAGTTTCCACTGGAGTGAAAGACTTTCTAGATTCTGTAGAGTCTGTAGAGTCTGTAGCGTCTGTAGAGACTGTAGCGTCTGTAGCGACTGTAGCGTCTGTAGCGACTGTAGCGTCTGTAGTACTTTCTGAATCCCTCTGGAGTTCCCTTCAGGAATACTTTTTGAATCCCTCTGGAGTTCCCTTCAGGAAGTCCAACTAGCTGGAGTGGTTACTTTTAGGCTTTAATCTTTTAATCGGTGGCTCTTTTTGACCTTTTTCGTTTCTTGTGCCAACTTCAACATTTGGACGTCTCCTTTAGTTTCATTCATGTCACCAGAGTTTGATGGAGGACACGTCACACATGAGCGCCCTCTTTCTCCCAACCGTAGTAATGCAGCGACCCACTGCTCCTGGGTGACTGGTCAGTGGTCAGTGGTCAGAGGACACCCAGATGTTTGATGCCGTCCGTCTCTGACCTCTCTCCTTCAGGTGCAGTTTCATGACGTGCTGCTGCTCACACAGAAGCTTTTCCCCATAGTGGAGGCCATGCAGAAGTACTTCAGTGCTGGCTCTGGAGCCTATTACAGTGACGCCATCTTCTTCCTGTCTGTGGCCATGCATCACATCATGCCTGACAGTGAGTACTGTACGTCTTCATCACATGTGGACTTTCCTACTGAGGCCTCAGTCAACCATTGTCAGTGGATCTCTGGGACTTTTTAAATATTTCTTTAGAAACGTATTAGAACACTGGGTTACAGAGACAATACTTCATTCAACTATCCGTTAACTAACCCTGGTTAACTAACCCTGGTTAACTAACCCTGGTTATGGGTTCTCAGTCAGGTCGACCATCAGTGTTTCAGATTTGTTTCTTTGGAGAAAAGGTTAAAACTGTCTCTGGGCAGTTTTCTGCTCGGTGACCTCACTGTCACTACACGCCGCTCGTGACCCCACCGTCCACAGCTGTGCTACGTCGCTGTTGTCACACTGCCTCCCAGTGGATTCAAAGCTAGAACACCAGCGCGGGGCGTCGTGTGGTTTCACTGCTGAGACTAATCTTGGATTATTATCAATCTTTAATCTCTAATCTCTAATTTCAACTCTGATTTACTGTGCGTTCACTTTCCGTTTGTGCACAGAGCCCAGCTGATAAAAGCTGAGTGGGCAGGTATCCTAGAGACGTGACGTCCTGCAGAGACCCTGGGGGGTAAAGAGTTCCGTCAGTGCTGCCCACATCTGAGCCCCCCGTGTTGGTGCCCATTGATGTTAGACAGTCCCTCTGTGCTTTGGTTCTGGTTCTGATCCAAAAATCCCCAAACTTACTATATTTTTAGTTGAAAAACCTTTTAAAAATCCAGAGTTTGTGTCTGGTTGAATATTTAACAGAAAAGGTGGAGAACAGAAGCTTTGATTATTTCATGGAGGACAGCAGTGATAACTGGGTCGAAGAGTTGATAAAAAGGTCCGAACATGAAGCACAGTTTGAGTCAGTGATGTTTGACCTCTGGGTCAGGGTCACTTGGAGCTCAAAGTATTCAGATATTTAGATTGGACTTTGACAGAAATGAAATTTTCCACCGTCAACCTCAGAAATACAGATTCAGTTTGTTGTTCCAGAAGAACAGCTGATTTATTATCACTATGTTATTACATTATAACTGTATTATTACTAATACTATTTTATTTTATATAACTGTTGAACAGCTGATTTATTATCACTGTTATTACATTATAACTATATTATTATTAATACTATTTTATTTTATATAACTGTTTTATCATATTGTATCTTATTTTTTATTCTAATACTTTTTATTTTTATTTTATATTTAATTTGTTTTATTATTGCCTCTTTCACATCAATGGTCATTTCACTGCTGGTCCAAACGTACGGCGACACACGTGAGTGTGTTGAGCTGTTGTCCGACCTCCGACCTCTGACCTCAGACTTTTGCTCTGAGAACATTCTAGATTCAGAGACAAAGGCCTTGATCTCAGACAGCACCTCTCACTGATCAGCGTTTCCTCAGATTATGATGTTGTGCCCATAATGCACCAGTCCTGACTATTTCCCATCTTTTCATCGCCATGCCAACCAGCACAACAGGAAGTTGAAACAATGAACAGACCAGGGCCTGAATTCCTGACCCACTCGCGTCGTTTACTGAGCAGACGCTCACCTGCAGGAGAGGAGGAGGTCAGTCTTTGTGTTACCGTTAGGATGTTCAACAACAGCCAATCAGAGAGAAGAGCTTCACACAGGAAATTGAACAGGCTCAGAAAACTCGGACATGAATTCTGAAGCAGGAACGGACAAAAAAAAAAACCACACAAACTGTTGCCACTCCGACTCTAACACGTGGTGTCTTTTCTGACCGGCGCCGCTCTGGGCTTCACTCCGTCCAGACTCCAGACAGTTGTCCCTCAGTTTCTTACAAACTGACTCCGTTGTTTGATAACAGTCCTGATGTAATGTGATGATATTTATTTATTTCTTTTTAATGGTTTCTTTTTTTTTTTTCAGGTCTCATGCGAATTGTGCAGCTTGACCTTGATCTGAAATACCGCACCAACATCAGAGAGCTTTTCCTGGAGTTTGACCGTTTCCCTCCCGGAGCGGTGATCGGCATCGTCAGAGAGATGCAGCCCGTTTACAGGTAGGGTCACTGAGTAACGAGCAGCGTGTTGTCAGTGCTGGTCGTCTGGGCCTCGGCCGTGGTTCCTCATGTTTGTACGTGCTGTAGTAGAGCTCCTCATGTTGAGAACCTCTCTCCTCCTCTCTCCTTCAGACACACCTTCTGGCAGTACCGTAAGGAGAATCCCAGGACCAGAGTGGGCGAACCTCCTCCTGAGGGTCTGCCGGGCTTCAACAGCGGTGTGATGTTACTGGACCTGAAGGAAATGAGAACCTCGGTTCTCTACAACCAGCTGCTGAAGCCCGATAACGTGGCCGCGTTGGCCGACCAGTACCGTTTCAGGGGTCACCTGGGCGACCAGGACTTCTTCACCATGATCGGCATGGAGCATCCGGAACTCTTTTATCCTCTGGCCTGCGGCTGGAACCGACAGCTGTGCACCTGGTGGAGGGAGCACGGCTACGGGGATGTGTTCCAGCTGTACTATCGCTGCCAAGGACCAGTTTTCATTTATCACGGTAACTGTAACTCCCCGATACCAGAGGGCTGAAGATGACCAAAGGTTTTACCCTGGTGTTGATGCTGGTTTCTGTCTTTTAACATGATGTTTGAGCAGCTGAACACAATTAAATCATGAATAAACAAACAGTACAACGTTTTTCACCTTCAGTATTTTTTTATAACTGTTTTCTTTTGACACGTCGAACGTCAGTAAATGAACGGGCGGTCGTTGTTTTAGCTCCTGTCGTCACTGATCTATAATCAAGACTTTTCACACCGTCCATCAGTAACTTTAAAGAGTGTAAAAGGTGGAGAAAAATAAATGAGTATAAAAAGACGTTTTTATAGTATGACAAATGTAAACGTGGACAGAGGAGCAGACCCAGCTGGAGGTCAAAGGTTACCGACGCCTGATCCTAATCACAGTAGTTTTGGAGGGAAAACTGAAAAATGTTAAGTTTTTTTTTTCACCTCAGGCGCTCGAACCAAAACTGTTATCGTCACGTTTTACTGATTAGCATTTGTTTGTTTGTTTTTTTTTATTAATTTAATCCAACAGTTTTAGTCAGACCAGAGCATTTATCATTTCTGAAACACTGATCACTCCAGGAATCAAATGTTTTTGACGTTCTCTGCATTAGTAGTACTATAGTAATACTGTAGTATTTTCTTTTAAATCATATTTTGTAAAAACAAACAAAAGATTTACTCAGTTTACTGTCATGACATGTGATCACAACGACCAATCAGACGACTGTTTACACCTCCCCAGTTCCCCCCAACAGGGGGAGCTGAAGTTGCTTCATTCTTTGTCACACCCACAGTACATACCTGCTGTACTCCCCACCACTAGGGGGTGCTGTTCTCCCCACCACCAGTGTCTAACAGAACTCTTCAAAGTATTCCCCGTGTTTTTGGTTCCTATTTTTATCAGATCGTTTTCCTTCAAAAAGCCTTTGATCTTGAACCCGTTTGATGTTGACGTCAAATAATCTGTTGATCCTCAAACAAACACTTTCACAAGGTTTTTTTTTCTTGGTCTTATTATAAATAAATGATTTTATATCAAAATTCAAATGTGCAATAACGAGTGTTCTTGTTTTGTGTCAACACTGGTTTCTCATCATGGAACCTCAGTTTGTCGATCTTTTCTCTTGTCGTCAGTGAACGCCTCTCTCTGCCTCTGCTCTTGTTTCGGTTTGAAGCTCCTTTGTTGTCCCTCTGCCATCGTACAAACCTTCAACAATGACTGGCCGTGACCCGGTTCTGTCAGTCGTTTCTGTCAATGCGTTCATTGTTGGATCAATAAAAACGACAGTCGGTCGTTACCATCGGGGTCTGTGTGATTACACCAACTCTGGGCTGACTGAACAGTGGTTGTTTCCTGGCCCTGACTTGACTTTGTCCACGTACGTCACCTTTACCTCCACAGCCTGACGTGGTGCGAACACAGACCAAACTGTATGAACAGGTGTAAACAGTGTGACCCACTGACCTGGATAGTGGTGTGTGTGTGTGTGTGTGTACGTGTGTTTGTGTGTGTACACACCACTGGGTAAAGTACCTGTCCAGATGCTGGAAGTTACAAATAAAAAAAGATGAATCCCAAACGTCACTTCCACTTGTGTTTTCACCCAGTCTGGAAACGTCTGAACCAAAATGTCTCAGAGGAGGAAAAGGAGGAAAAGGAGGAAAAGGACATCGTTCTCTGTGGTTCTGTTCTGTTGGGTTCAGGGTTCTAGTCTTAGATCTTTAGGTGAACTCTCGTCTTAACTCTGACAGCATTGGCATCAAACACAAAGTCACGATTTACCTCAGACCTCGGTCGTCTGGTTATGGATGAGACTAGAAGTGTTGTTGTTGTTGTTGTCATCGTTGTGGTTGTCGTGGTTGTTGTGGTTGTTGTTGTTGTCATTGTGGTCGTTGTGGTTGTCGTTGTTGTGGTTGTTGTCGTTGTTGTTGTTGTTGTTGTTGTTTTTGTTGTTGTTGTCGTCATTGTGGTTGTTGTTGTTGTGGTCGTTGTTTTGGTTGTTGTTGTTGTCGTCGTTGTGGTTGTTGTTATGGTTGTTGTGGTTGTGATTGTGGTTGTTGTGGTTGTTGTGGTTGTCGTTGTCGTCGTTGTGGTTGTGGTTGTTGTCGTTGTGGTTGTTGTTGTGGTTGTTGTGGTTGTGGTTGTGATTGTGGTTGTTGTGGTTGTCGTTGTGGTTGTTGTGGTTGTTGTGGTTGTTGTCGTTGTTGTTGTTGTTGTTGTTGTTGTCGTCATTGTGGTTGTTGTTGTTGTGGTCGTTGTTTTGGTTGTTGTTGTTGTCGTCATTGTCGTTGTTGTCGTCGTTGTAGTTGTTGTTATGGTTGTTGTGGTTGTGATTGTGGTTGTTGTTGTTGTCATTGTGGTTGTTGTTGTTGTGGTCGTTGTTTTGGTTGTTGTTGTTGTCGTCGTTGTGGTTGTTGTTGTTGTGGTCGTTGTTTTGGTTGTTGTTGTTGTCGTCGTTGTGGTTGTTGTTGTTGTGGTCGTTGTTTTGGTTGTTGTTGTTGTCGTCGTTGTGGTTGTTGTTGTTGTGGTTGTCGTTGTTGTTGTCGTTGTTGTTGTTGTTTTTGTTGTTGTTGTCGTCATTGTGGTTGTTGTAGTTGTGGTTGTTGTGGTTGTCGTTGTCGTTGTTGTTGTCGTTGTTGTTGTTGTTTTTGTTGTTGTTGTCGTCATTGTGGTTGTTGTTGTTGTGGTCGTTGTTTTGGTTGTTGTTGTTGTCGTCATTGTCGTTGTTGTTGTTGTCGTCGTTGTGTTTGTGGTTGTTGGGGGGGTTGTTTTGGTTGTTGTGGTTGTGGTTGTGATTGTGGTTGTTGTTAACTTATCAGTTTTCAAATCAAAGACGTCAGTTTGTGACCACTGCTTCACAGCCACTCTCCCACTGCGGCTGTAGAACTCTATTATTTCCTGACTCCCGGCAGTTCAACAATAGCAGCTCATCTCAAGGTGAACGCTGACAATAGGACACAAAGTGTGTCGCTGCCGCCTCCACGTGAAGAAGCGTTCACGTGCTGTGGACGGAGCCACAGGTCAAAGTCAGCTTTGATCGGTTTAGTCTTCAGTCTGTGACATTCGTACACCTGATTTGAAAATACGATGTCTTTAAATGACGTAGATTTTCATTAAACATAAAAAAAAACACAAATACACTTCACAGCTACAGATTTTTAAATATTCTGACACTGAGATCAAACAACCTTGAATTATTAATAAACTCCATTCATTAATGGAGTTCACGTTGAGCCTCCATGTCCTCCAGGTCCAGTGTGTCCTCCAGCTGACGTGTCCCACGGTCACAGACATGATGTAAACACGTCACCCCAGGAGCCATGTGTCGGAGCAGCCACAGGGAGCTGCTGTGCTGCAGGACGGGCTCGGCTCTGACAACAGGAAGCTCAAATCCTCCTTTGAAACATGTAATCACATCTGCTCCGTGTCCTGTATATTCACACTGACTCTGGATATGAACAGACAGTCTCAAGAGCTCCACCTAGACACATCACCGCCCTTTATTAACAACAAGTATGGACTCATAATGCCTGGTGGGGGCCCGGGGGGGAGGGACCGGGGGGGCAAACTGTGAATGCCGGCTGGGTGTCTGACCCACATAATATATGGCTCCATCTGAGCAGAAATGAGGTCTGTGTGTCGCCCTACTTCAACGTCCATGGGGAGAGGTGTCCACGTTAGCATGTTAGCCTGTTAGCCTGTTAGCATCTAATCCCAGAAGAAACTGTTGTTACGATGCAGCAAAGAACCACTGCAGTGGAGTCCAGTCCAGTCCAGTCCAGTCCAGTCCAGTCCAGTCCAGTCCAATGGTTCCATATTCTGTTTTCCTACTGTCAGACAGGGGAACAGACAGCCTAACTCTAACT